TCTTTGTTTCTTCTACTATCCGAACGTTTCATAAATATGCGCAACAATTCTCTACGAAAGTTCTTGCCAATTGCGCAATAAAGAAAAAAGTTTATTCCGTAATTTGTTAACCATAATAATTTGCTGATGAAAAAAAGTGGGTATAAAAGTTTATCATCACCGACCTGTAAAGATAATTATTATTATTATCACTTATCGTTAAAAAATTATAAACAATAATATAGTTTTTATATAAATTAAGTTAAACAATAGGAATAATAAAAAAACAATTTTAATTGTGGAAAAACTTAATTAATAGCTTTCCATAATATGTAAAATGCGATTTTGAAGTAAAGAAACCCTGAATTTGATGGTTGATTTAAAAAAAATAGTAATTACCTCTTGTATCTCATCCAAGGGAATAAATTGTCGGAAAATTAGGTAAGGTGTATTTAAACATATAAATATGCTTGAAATGATAACAAGCATTTTTGTGACTTTAATGTGTGATGTTTCACCGTCCAAACTTTGTGTTTTCCTATTCGATGCAGCAGAACTTAAAATCAAGTTTTTTCGAATACGATTATGCTTGCGGATGTTATACATTATTAGAGCATTAAGAATTGCTATCACTGTTGCAGGTAAAACAAATGTTATAATAGTATTAATAGTATTTAAAATCCACCACCAGTAGTTGTAGTTTGTCAGCTCATTTTCGTCATGAAGCCAGTAGATTGCATTCATAGTAAACCATGGGATAGAGTATGAAACAGCTAAACCCGCCAGTCCAATCGCCACAATTTTCGCTCGTTTGACTGTGCACACGGAGCGACGAAGTAGCGGCCACTTGATCGCTATATATCGTTGAACAGTAAAGGCCACTACAATCCACACACTCAGGAAAGCAAATAACATTCGCGAACTAGTAATATAGATGATAACGATATCGTATTCATATTCATCTTCAATTATTTTCTTTATTGGTCTGGGCAGATATTCGACTAACGTCACTAAAAAACCGATGTCGCTTATCGCAAGTGCACCTAGGTAGATGCTGGACGAGGAGTAACGTAGCTTCGTGCAGAGAAACATATATACGGACAGACTGTTTCCCAACAGAGAAAGACACAATAAAATCGGTACGTAGTACCTTGACATCACTTCAACAGTTTCGATTGTAATAAGTAATGAATCAATTTCTTTATTATTCTCATCGTCCTCAAACACATCTGTGTCATTCATTTTTACGGATTGATTAATGATTTTTTAAATCGTTTCCAGCAGTTGTTAATGAGAAATGAGATTTATCATTGGAAAGTAATAATTAGATAGTAATTATGTAATTTAAACTCATTTTTTGAAGTACATTATAATAAAAAATGTACACCATTGTACACCATTGCACATTGTAACTGAAGACCGATTAAGCTGTTTTAAGAACTGGTGCATTATATATAGCAGAGCTCGGCGTTAGTTGCACATTTGACGCTCCTGAATCAAGGCTATCGGTGACTCGGCCGTCAGCAGCCGCGCGGTAGTGGGAGAGCGGGAGGCGTCGTCTCAAGAATCGAGCCGGAATGTGCAACTAACGCCGAGCTCTGATATATGTATACGATATCGTGCGTGGTAGAACAAATTAATTAAATTTTCTAATATAACAATTTTCATTAAATTCTTTTATCTAAACATTGTTAATTGCATACATTTTTTTTTAATTGAAAGCAATTTTAATTAATTTCTTTTTTAATCAAGTGATGTATGATTTCTGAATAACAAAAGAAACAATAAAAAATATTTCCTGTTTTTAAAATTATGAATAATAATACAGTTCTTATATCAATTAAACGTTATATTGGGTTAAACATTAGGAATAATAAGGAAAAATTTGAATTTTAGGAAAAATTAATTAATAGCCTTTTATAATATGTAAAATGCGTTGTTAAAGTAAAGAAACTTTGCATTTGATGGTTGACTCTTCTTTAGTAATAACCTTTGACCTAATTACTATCATCTCATCGAAGACAGCAATTAGGCGGCAAATTTAGAAAGATGCATTTAGACATATGAATACGCTTGAAATGATAACAAGCATTCTTATGATTTCAATGTGCGACGCTTCATTATCAAATCTTTCTGTTTTCTTATTGGATGCAGTAGAACTTAAAATCGAGTTTTATTGAATACGATTATGCTTGCAGATGTTGTGCACTATTAGAGCATTCAGAATTGTTATTATTGTTGTGAGTAAGACAACCCACATATTATAATGGCATCGATAGCATTTAAAATCCACCACCAGTAGTCTAAGTTTCTTATCTTATGTTCTCTATTACTGATTCTATACATTGCACTCATAATAAACCATGGAATAGAGTATAAAATCGTTAATCTTACCACTCCGATCTCCACGATTTTCGCTCGATTGACTGTGTCGAAGGAACGACGAAGTAGCGGCCACTTGATCGCTATATACCGTTGAATAGTAAAGGCTACTACAATCCACACACTCAGGAATGCAAATGACTTTCTCGAATCAGTGAAACTTAGTATTTCCAAGATTTATTTGTTGTAAGGCAAGTCATTTTTGGAATATCGTCACAGAAAAAGCGATATCGCTCATCACAAGCGCAGCTAAGTAGATACTGGACGAAGAGTTACGTAGTTTTGTGCAGAGAAACACACGCACGGATAGACTGTTCCCCAACAAAGAAAGGCAAAAGAAAATCAATATGTAGTACTCTGAGATGTTATTAACAGTCACAATTAATACTGTATCATTTTTGTCACTCATTTTTATACATTGATTTTAAATCGTTTGCAGTAATTGTTAATGAGAAATGAGATTTATTATTTGAAATTAGTAATTATAGAATAATTAAGTAATATAAACTTATTTTTTGAAGTACATTGTAACAAAGAAATGTAGAGTTGTTTTATACACTGTAACTGAAGACCGATTAAGTCGTTTTAATACCTGGTGCGTCATATATACATAATATCGTGCGTAGAATAAGTTAATTAAATTTTTTAATATGAGAAATTTTAAATTAAATGTTTTTTATCTAAACATTGTTAATTGCTTATATGTTTCTAATTAAAAACAATTTTAATTAATTTCTTTTTTAATTGTGTAATGTATGATTATTAAATGACAAAAAAAGTAAAAAATTATTGCATTTGTTGAAATGGGAGTACGTCAATTTTAACCTTTGGAGTGCTATGGACACATATTGAATAAAGTGTCCGAATTTGGAGTGATTGCCTAATTCCGGGTAAATGCTTCTCTTGGCTCCTAAATGCCGCACTCTGCAACTGACCTTTGTTACTAGTGGAGAAGGATAAGGTTAACAGCCATTGCGAATCGGGTCGCGCTCATCACGCTGTTTTCGATTTTGTAATTTAATCAAAGAGAAATTTTCTTCGCGCGCGCGGAATTTTCTGTAAAATCCACTTCTTAATTATAAGAGATATTTTCAAAAATACCCCACTGCCATTCAGAGATTATGTTGGCTAACTAGCAAAAGCAGACAGTTTGTTCCTAATTCCGGGTAATAAGAGATTGTTGGATGTCGAACTTTTAATTACGTTAATCCTTTTATTGCAATTAAATGTTTCTGTTACTTAAATTTTTCTTAAAGTTGTTGACTTTCTATTTCATTTTATTTTAAATACATATTTTAATTTTTCTTTAATTTTGGAAAATAATGTTTCTTCTCAAACTTGTAATTCAATTTTTAGCAATAAACTTTTTTCTTTTTTTAAACAGAATTAATTACGTTAAAAGTTAATTTTATTTCCTATTCATTATATATACCCGAGAAAAAATGGTATAATATGGTCAGATGTAAATATATATAATTAGTTATAAAAAGATCTGATAACATGTAATATTTTATATGATTATATAAAATTACATATGTTATTAGATCTTTTCATAACTAATTATATATATTTATATCTGACCAATTATACTATTTTTTCTCGGGTATTTATAACCTATTCTTAATTAAGAACGCACCATACCCGGCATTAGGAATCTCTTTTACTCGAGGTAAGAAATTACATCTTTGAAAATATAATTTTATAATTTCTCAAAATAAAAATTTATTACAATTTATTACAAATGTTACTAAAAAATAGTAATTACGTAATAATTAGGTAATACAAACCTTTTTTTAAGCGCAATGTTGTAAAATAATATACTGCTTTATTATATCATACATTATATAATAAATAATATAATACATCATGATTACGGATTAATTAAGCTTTCTCAATATCTGTTAAAATAATTTGAAAATATGATTTCAGATCAATCAGTCATACACATATTATACTGCTTTCAAGCTTTTCTGCTGAAAAAAAACAGATGCGTTGTTACTTAACAACGTAATTAAATTTTTTACAATGATATTCTTAATACAATTTTTTATCTAATTATAAGTATCGTTAATTGTACGTTTGTAATTAAAAACAATTTAAATTAATTCTGTTCTGATAGTGTAATATATGAATTTTCAAAAACAAATCCCGAGAAAAAATGGCGTAATATGGTTAGATGTAAATATATATAATTAGTTATGAAAAGATCTAATAACACATGTAATTTTATATAATCATATAAAATTCAGATCTTTTCATAACTAATTGTATATATTTATATCTGACCAACTATACTATTTTTCTCGGGATTTTATACACTTATTTTTGTTAAAAAATATTTTGTATTGTAATATACTGAGAAAATCATTTAAAAGTGGAAAAAACTGAAATTATAAATTATAATTTAGTAATTCATGTAATATCTATATGTATATACCTCTATATATACCATCATGTTTTAACATTATATATTACCTTATAACAATTGAATGATTAAGTATCAATTGTACTGTTTCGCATAATCTTCCATCTCCATATATTCGTCCTTTTTAGTATCTGAACATTTCGTAAAAATGCGGATCACTTCTTTGCGAAAAGTTTCTCCAGTTGCATAATACAGAATAAAGTTTATCCCGTAATTTGTTACATATAAAATAGAACTGATCATATCAAACAAAATCATAGAAAAATATTTACCACTCATCTGCAAATATAATTATTATCGTTGTAAGTACGTATTAAAGAAACATAACCAATAATGCTGTTCTTATGTCTATTGAGTTAAACATTAGGAAATATAAAAAAAAATTTTAATTTTAGGATAAAGTAATTATTAGCATTAATATTACGTAAAATGCATTTTTAAAGTAAAGAAATTGTATCTGATAGTCGGTTTTTCTTCAATAATATACTAATACGTACGTTATCGAGAAGAATAAAGGAGCAGATATGTACAGGTACATTTAAACATATGAATATGCTTGAAATAATAACGAGCATTTTTGTGGCCTTAATGTGTGAAATTTCATCTTTTGAACTTCGAATATTCCCATTGCAAGCAACGGAACTTAAAATAAAGTTTTTTCGGATACAATTCTGCTTGCGAATGATGCAAATTATCAGAGTATTAAACATTACTATCATTGTGACGGGTAAAATCAACATTATAATAGCATTGGTGATGATTAAAATCCTCCACCAGTACGTCAAGTTTGTTTTCTCAACATTTGCATCAAAATTTTTCTTCGTTGCACTTTCTATAATGAACCATGGAATAGAGTATAAAACTGCTAATCCCACCAGTCCGATCATCATGATTTTGGCACGGTTGACCGTGCACAAGGAGCGACGAAGTAGCGGCCATTTGATTGCTATATACCGTATAACAGTAAAGGTTACTACAATCCACACACTCAAGAAACAAAATAGAAATCGCAAACCAAACAAAAGAACGTGCAACCAATCTTCATAATTTATAACATTTTTCCATTCGAACCACATCATGAGTACCGTCATCAACACAGCCATGTCGCTCATCGCAAGTGCACGCAAGTAGACGCTGGATGAGTTGTAACGTAGCTTTGTGAAAAAGAGCACATACACGGATAGACTGTTGCTCAGCAGACAAAGACACAAGAAAATCGGTATGTAGTACTTATTAAAGTGCTCAATCACATTGAATGTTGGATTATTTTTGTCGCCCATCCTTGCGTATTGATTTTGAATTGTTAGCAGCAGTTGTTAACGAGGAAAAAAGCAGAAAGTGTCTGAACGTAGAGTGAATAGAACCTTGTGTCATACACAATGTTAAACAGTTCCGTGTTGATATAAATAAACCGCAATTTGATTATAAACCGGTTAGTATAAACCGGTTTGATCGAAATTGTCAGCGTGTTTTACGATAGCAATGTAAAGTCGATACGTCGTACGATTGAATCGTACGATCTGGTTACAGCTCCGTGTTTTATTTTTTTAAATTTTGCATAATATTAGTGTAATATAGTAAAACATGTACTGCTGTGTTATACACCGTGACTGTAAATTGATTAAATAATCTTAATATAACTGTTACTTTGATTCGAAGACATCATGAAATTTCAGATCAAACGCCAGTTATACACTGTAATGTTTTCAAGCTTATTTGCTAATTTTAGAGCAGATTCCATGTATTTATGTTATTAAAAATTCAAATTTTAATTGAAATTTAAATACTCCTGTTGCTATTTATGCGTGACATTCTGCTTCCGTAAGAACCAGTGTGTGACGCATACATTATGTACGATACATTATGCATGGTAGAACAAGTTAATTAAATTTTTTGATAAAGCAATTTTTATTAAATTTGTTATTTAAACATTTTTTATTTAACATTGTTAATTACACATACATTTTTAATTAAAGAAAATTTTATTAATCGTATAACGTATGATTCTTAAGGCATAAAGTATAAAGTAAAATAAACAATTATTGTATAAGAGAAAAAAACATATATGTATATATAGACATATAACACATTTGTATTAATTTACAACACACATATATGTGACACATTTATATTAATTCCATTATTTAATATGAGTGCTATTCGTAAACAGTGTTTTGAAAAATTTAGCTATTATGCGATAATTTTACCATCGTGTTATCATTATATTACCTTATTACAATAATTATAATAATTTGCATGATAATATCAATGACCCTATACCTCATAATTTTCCGTCTTCATACTTTTGTTTCTTTTATTATTTAAACGTTTCTTAAATATACGCATGAATTCTCTACGAAAGTTCTTCCCAACTGCGCAATAAAGAAAAAAGTTTATTCCGTAATTTGTTATCCGTAATAATGTGCTGATCCACTGAACTATCTGCCAAACTGTAGAATTACACATCTGTAAAAATTATTATTATTATTATAACTTATTATCAAAAAATTATAAACAATAATACAGTTTTTATATGAATTAAGTTTAAAAATAAGAATAATAAAAAAGAATTAGAATTGTAAAAAAAACTAAATTAATAGCATTCCATAATATGTAAAATAAGATTTTAAGGAAAATAAACTCTCTGTATTTGATGGTTAATTTTTCTTTTATAGTGATTACCTTTATTGCATACGTCAAAACATCAAGTTCGCTGCAAACTTGATAAGGTGCATTTAAACATACGAATATGCTTGAAATGATAACAAGCATTTTTGTGACTTTAATGTGTGATGTTTCACCGTCCAAACTTTGTGTTTTCCTATTCGATGCAGCAGAACTTAAAATCAAGTTTTTTCGAATACGATTATGCTTGCG